CCCGTGGGTTTTGAGGGGGGGGGGGGTACCCTTTTAGGTGCGGGGATAGTGTTCATTTTTGTCGGCAGGGGGGTAGGCATATTCGGAAATTTTTTTAAAATTGGAAGAGAAAAGTTTCCCTTAAGGGATCCCCCGGGCGTAAAATGGTACGTTGCTCTCAGTAGCGGGGGAGGCGGTGGAGGAGGAAGAACACCACACCCAGATGTTTGGAAAGGAGATCCCCATAAAAATAATATCCAAGACGTTGGGCCAGGATTCATCGCGGTTTCCCCCCCCCCCCCCCTCCGTGTATCGAGGTAACTAGAATGTCGGACGATAGACTACCAGCCATGGTTGACAAGGCAGCTTGGGGAAAAGCGACTCCAGGGAAGAAGGGAATGAGATGGGACAAGGTGGTAGAGAAGGTTTGGAAGGAGGTAGGAGACGAGGAGGAGACGTTGGACACGGAAGGGTTCGGGGGGTTCAAGACGAAAGTCAAGGAGATGCTAGAAAGTAGGGAGGAGGCAACCCTTCCGAAGAAGGTACGAAGCGAAGACCACTTGGAGATATACGGGAAGTTGAAAGAAGGGATAGGGATGAAGACGTACATGGACGGCCCCATGGACTACGCGAAAAAGCTGAAATTGCAATTTCGAGTAGGCGATCTGGACTTGCCAGAACGGAGGAAGAGGTATACCAGCCGTAGGAGAGAGGAAGAGGAGGATAGACACACATGCCCATGTGGCAAATCGGAGGAGAGTAGACCCCACATAGTTGGGGAGTGTGAGTTGTACAGGAAGGAAAGAGAGGATCTCGAGGAGGAAATGAGACAGAGAGGGTGTGACATGGACAAGTTTGGTAAATTAGACAACAGCGAAAAAACGATCGCGATAATTGGGGATAGATGGTGGGCACAAGAGGCCCTAGAGGACGGGTATAAGATGCGCAAGAAATTTTTATGTAGTTTGTGGCAGAAACGTAAAGAGCTCCCAAATGTTGGTGGTGTCTCTAGTAGGGGTAGGAACGGTGCTCCGTCTCGAAAGGGACGCGTGGTCAATGGTCAAATGACTACGGCAAGCAGAAAAATGAGTACGCCCCCCCCCCCCCCCCCCCC